ACTTTTGTCATGAGATATTGACTACTAGAAGGAATGATTCATCTCTGAAGCCGGAATATACCTGTCCTGTTCATCCATTTGCATGCTGGCGTTAAGTCGACGTCTGTCGTGCTTCGATTCCCACATAGAAAGCTCGCCGGTTCGAGTTAAGACTTCATGGTCAACCGCCAATTTGTCTTACACGGTGAACTTCCACACCTGCTGAGAATATCTGCAGCAGAATAAGAATACAATTATCTCTTACACTTTCCTGTGATTTAACGCTAATCTTTCATAGAATCCTGCTTTTTTGTATGCTGTTATATTTTTATTCTTGATCTTCTTTTTAACAACGACCTCTATGCCATTTGACAGGGTTAATCTTATTGGATACTGAAAGTACAGAGAATTTTGGTGAAAAGGAATAAACTCTTATCTGCTTAGGCTAGGTCCGTATAACATGTCGCCTGCCTACATTTGCATAATACGAAGAATCAGATATCTCTTGGCTTAGGATAGCATGACTACCTGGATCTTCTTGTGTCTCAAATTCTCAGCTTCGACTCTGATTTGTTTTCAGTCTGCATTTGTCCTAAGTTGAATCCCGCAAACGATTGTAAAATTTAAAAAGGACAGTGTTTGTTTGCAGCATTGAGTTTACAATAACCACAATTATTTCCCATTATATGGGGTTTGCTGTTCTAATTGTAGCCTTATTTCTTGTTATAATTGTCTTAAACTTATTAGCCAGTCGGCAACAGTTTTTCCATTGTTTTCATTTCTCGTTTCTACCTAGTATTTTTCGGTTCTGACTCTCAGAACGAAAGCGATATTGTCGTAAAAATTTATCTTTTGAGAAGGGAGCATAGTAATAATTTGTTCAAGATTTGCGGTGAGCAGTCATCGGTTACACTTGACGTATGTAACGTAAAATTTTATTTAAAGTTGTTTGTTCTGAGGCGAAATTCAGTCCATTATAAGATTTCGACATAGACGACTTTGTTTCTTTTTGTATTTCATTGCTTCAGCTGACTGATAATTTCGTTTAGGTTTCGGCATGGGGCGGATACGTGTTCATCATCAATCTTATTCCACTGCATGTCTTTGTACTGCTGCTAATGGGCCGGTTCAGCTGGCGGATTTATGTTGGTTTGTATTCTTTTGCTTTTGTTCTTGTCTCAGCGTCTAGCTTGTGAAACTTGTTTTAGCATACTCTACATTCTTCATTCTTGGTCTGATCCTGTCGATGCAAGTGCCGTTTGTCGGATTTCAGCCAATCCGAACTAGTGAACACATGGCATCCGTCGGTAAACGTCTTCGATCTCATTCTTTTCTGTTGATCATTGTGTTTTAGGCGTTTTTGGCCTGTTGAACGCGTACGGGGCGTTGCTTTTCATCCAGAGCCTCGTCAGCAAGCGGCATTTCCGCTATTTCTTTTTCTTCACTCTCTCTGCAGTGACAGCGTTCGGCTTCTCTGCAATCGTCCTTTTGACATACCTAGGTAAGTCTTATAAGGTTGCCTTTGTTAGATACAAGTGTGTTTCTTCTTGGTCACCCCCTACTGACCCTCGACCGTAACTTGTTTTCTTGCAAGTATAGAGTACATTACGAGCTCTCAAATATCTGTTGAGCACAAAGCTTTGGAAACCTAGAATGATGTTACGATGTAGGTATCCCTCAGTGGTACCGATTTAAAGTCTGTTCAGCAACTGTTCTGTGAATTACGTTGCAGGGAGTATCTGGAAAATACACCTTTCAGATTATCGGTAGTTTTTAGGGTGTGTTTTCGAGTAATATTCGCAGTAGCGCCCATTTAAGTGCAGATTTATTTTTTATTAGTCCTATGTGTTCAATCACTTATTGTGAAGTATAGAATTTTTTTTGAAATGCTTTGCTTGACCACTGTACGATGCGGTTCTTATGCTGTAACCCCTTTCTGAACCAGCTGTATGTTTCTGCTGCTTGTTGTAACCTTATTAATGTCCCAGTTTTTCTACCTGTGTTAACATATGAAGTTCTAAAGCTACGTTTCTATTCTGGTAAAGTAGACTTGAGCGTATCGTTTTTATGCCGTATATGCTCAGTATTGTCGCAGTCAGACACGACTTGCTTATTGCAATTATGGTAATAAATCGTCTGAATGAAGATAATTATTCGTCGCATGTAATTCAGTTTTTCTTTGTAGCTGACGTTGCTGTTTTTAGGTTGGATTGCGCCATGGAGTGGTCGCTTTTACTCACTTTGGGACACAGGTTACGCCAAAATTCACATTCCTATAATATCTTCAGTATCGGAACACCAGCCAACCACCTGGGTGTCGTTCTTTTTCGATTTACACGTCTTGATCACGATGTTTCCTGTCGGCGCATGGTATTGCATGAAGAACATTAACGAGGAACGAGTCTTTAGTAATACATCCTTAAATTTATATTTTAGTTGAACGTGTTTTACACTGTTTCATTATACACGACATTGCGCTGTAATCGCTGTTGTTATCATCGTCCAACGGTCATATAGTTGAAACTGTAGAATTGGTAATCAGTTGTGATAGCAGTTAATATAAACTACATAATTCACATTTGTATACTGTTTGTTATGAATATTGCTGCTTTCGAAGATGGAATATTTACACTGAAAGAACTACATCTATATACATATTTCTGAGGATATCAGCTTTCTGGAAAGCAGGAATATTAAAACGAAGATTATTCAAACGAGAATTTTCGCTCTTTGCAACAGTAATCCAGTTACTTTGTTCTGATATCGTATTTCTATTCTAAAGGTAAGGTTTTGAATGTGAGGATTGACATAAAGTTTTCCCTATTAATATTTAATTCCGTTCAGCTAAGGTTTCGCCACGATCTGCTGCCTAACAACTAGTAAAGTCAGTGACTGTCAAATAGTTGTGATGGTTTGGTGCTAATATGATTTTGCTAACAGTTGCCAACACACCCATGCTGTGTGAAGGTTGGAAATACACCTATTAATACCTGACAGTTATTTAGTACATAGAAAAACCTGTAAATTAAATGGAAGGTGCAAAATACTATAATTATTTAGATGTTCGGTTGATTGCTGGAATGGAGAAGATCCATTCTGTGATGCTTAAAGCTTTAGGCGTGCAGCATGTGCCTAATATCTGTTAAACTGAAATGGCAACAAGGAAGACACCGGTCAGCTGGAGAACTGGACTGATAGTACTCCTGTTCAGGAATGGAAACCATAGGTACTGCTCCAGTTATCAGGGCATTACATTGTTGACCTTGCCAAAAATCCTCCAGATGGTGTTGAAAGGATGCACCACGGAATGGTTGACTCAAAGCGATGTGGCTTCAGGCTTCGGCTTTTCCAAAGTATATCTGACCAGATATTCGCCCTATGCTAGATTGTTGAGAAATCGTAGGAGTTCGTTCATCCGGTTTATATGTGCTTCTTGATCTAGAGAAAGCCTATCACCGGATCCAGCGCGACAGTCTGTGAGCATGCCGGCAAACATATGGGATGGATGGCCAGTGGCTACGGGCCTACAATCACTATATGCTGATAGCAGGTACTGCGTCAGACTAAATGGCGTTATGTCGAAACCCTTCAGAGTTGGCGCTGGTCTGCGCTAAGACTGCATTCCGTCCGTTCTCCTGTTTGTGTTATATATGAATGGAATAATCAGGCGTAGCCAGGGTGATGAATGTGTCGAGCCTAGAAGGTTGCTGTTTGCAATCGACCTTGTGTTATTGTCATTTTCTGAAGCTGATCTATAGCGCTCTGTGGTAAGGCTCGCCGCTGACTGCGACGTGACCGGCATGCGTGTGAGCGTTAGTCTGATGCTTTGTCGTTCTCCTTCTCGTTGCGATCTGCAGATGAACAGAAAACAGGTGGAACAGGTAAAGAAGTTCATTGCCTCGGGATCGTGTACACTGATGATGGAAAATGTAAGAAGGAGATCGACGGACGAATTTGAATGACCAGCGGTGTTCTGTTGAACTAACACGAACTGTGGTGACTAAAACCTCTGAGTATGAAAACTAGGCTCTGTGTTGAAGTCGATCTTCATGCCGATGCTCACGTGTGGTCATGAGTCGTGGGCCATGGCTGTAAAAGTTCGACTTCGGTTTCACGCATTGAAATGGGTTTTCTAAGACGAATCGCCGGCCTCACGCGTCTGGACATGATCCGGAGCTAAGATATGAAGCCGCTGTTTTTCCAGATTGCGAAATCACATCTACGATGGTTTCGACATGTCTTTGGCTGCTTCCAGAAAGGGAAACGAGACAGTATTAATTTTTAAGTTGACCGGCAGAAGAACCCTGAAACGACCAGGTATAACCAGGGCTAATTCCTCGAAGGATCCTGCTTCAAACTCAGGTTATCTTTTGCTTGAGCTCAAATAATGGCACCGAATCGCGAACGTGAGAGAAGCTTCTGACGTACGTTTCTCCACCAACCGAAAAAATAAGCGACCATCGAAACTGACTGACATATATTCAATCGGGATTGAACCATAATGGCTTGTCAAGTTATATAATAGTTAACTATTCATTAAGCCCTTTATCGCAACTGAACAACTTGTTATATTTTTAACTTTTGTTAACTTTTAAGTATGTTAAATGCTTTTTGATGGGAATATAATTATTTTGCTTCTGTAAAAATTCGTAGCATTTCTACAGGCAGTGTTCATATTATTTTTCGTTTTTTTTAAAGTGCAGTACTTTTTCTTTCTTGACGTGTCGCTTTTAGTTTTGCTTTACGCTATAACGGCAGTGTATTTCGCCGGCGTTATGATTCGACTTATGCTTACATTGACACCCGTTGTCTGTATGTTGGCCGGCATCGCGTTTTCTTACACATATGAACGCTACTTGCGAGACAGCGTACCTGACAAATCAGCAGGCTTGTTGCCGGCAGCCACTCGACAGAAATCCTCAACTATCGTTGCAAGTGACGATTCCAACGGCGGCAACAAGAACATGTACGATAAGGTATAGATTTTCGGTGTCACTTTGGTTTCCCGTGTATTATTTGATGCTAACTGTGTGTATCGCTGTAATCACTACCACTTTATATCATCGTCGTCATCATTATCACCCCTGTGCTAATGGTTGTCATTGTCTTATGGCCATAGTCGTAAGAGCTTGTTTCATTCATCTAATCTGCTGATTAGGGTCTTTCAGAAATTTCTTCGTATAAAGCCGACAGATTTATTCTTTTTATCTTGCCACACCATAACTAATATGCATTTTTGATGAACAAGATAGAGGTAGTTCTTCTTTGGGAGAGAAATTGTTCTTTCTTCGGTGCAGTAACTGGTGGCTTATAGACAGAGTACTATAAAGCGGTGAATGCAGTGAATATCACAAGGCTGTGCCCTTTTTTTATGCAAGTAGCTCAAGGAGATGATCAGATTGTGAGGAACTCATATGTTTATGCATGCATATAATATTAACCTAAATATTCTTCTTAATGAACTTTGGTTTTGTACCTATTATTTATCAGTTGAATATTTTCATGGTGTATCGTTAGGACATCCAAGCATAAAACAACGATGGTGAAGTTTTAACAATCGATGCAGATAATCACGGACGCGAATAACATCCTCACGATTTAATTATACAAAACACAAGTCAACTGACACAAGTTATTATTTAAATCCTAGTGACACTTGCGTGCAGCCTGAAGTATATTTTGTGTATTACATTGCTGATACGAACTTTGCTGCCGCTTTCAGTTGTGTGCAAGGATGAACAGTATTCAGTGTACATGTCGTTTATCCGTGCGGATCATCATTATCATCATTAGAACTACTTACATCCCTGAAGCAGTGTCCTTGGGCAGTGGCATGAGAATGCACTGCTTTAGCATTCGGCATGAGAGCCGTGGATTGCATTGATGTTCTTTAATGCCAATCTTTCTTTGCTTGTAGGTCTTACCTTGTAAATTTTAACGTAGCATGATAGCTTATCTTATACTCTACTTTGGGGCCTCAGAGGGTTTCTGCAGTGGTTTTTTTTAGAATTTTTCTCCATGTCATTATTTTTTGTGGTAGGCCTCACTTTCATTACGTGTTTTCATCAAGCTTGAAATGTAGAGATAAAACGTGGGGAATTGTAGGTCTCTTTTATAATGGTCTAATTAAGTTAAAGCTGGGCTGCAGCATGATGCTGTTTAACTTTGTTGAGTTTGGAGAAGATAGGGTTTGGAGAAGACTTGTAAAGATAGATGATTTCTGCTCCAAGGCCTTTTTCGATGTTGCATGTCATGTTTTTATTATGTTCCTGAATAACGCAGGGAGCTCAGGATTTCTTATGACGTGTTGGAGGAGAGTTGGTTTACCATGGTCGGAAAACGCAAACGTTCAGTGGGTTTTTCGCCACCCATTTTTATCAACGTATCTAAGAATTTGATCGTTTTGTTGAATTCTACTTTTTTTGGTAAATTGCTATTCTGTTGTGGGTGTCCTTTTCATTCGTATATGTCGTTAAAGCACTCAAGCATGAATTTTGTTTGCATTGCAGAATGGGTATATCGTTTAGACGGTCCTGTTTAAGAAAAGAAAGTTAATTGCATTTCTTGACAGAACGACATGAGTCCACCATATATTTATATCTTCTCAATGAAAGTGGAAAGAGGACTAATCAGTGTACGGAAGTCAAGGTTACTGGCGACACAAAGCAAGCGAATCGTTTGGCACGGTAACTGTGCGTGCATCTGTTGCAACAAGGTCTTCCTCAGATCCAGCAGATCACTTCCAGTACGAGGACGGTATAATTTGGCACGCCATGTCTGGAACAGCACTGCGCTTTGTGAGCCTACACATCTTCAGGTGGTTGTTCTTGTTCCTTTTTCAAAGAGGAACAGCTGTTCTACTTTCAGTGATATGGTCTTCCACGTT